CCTGTGGGTCGGGACCCCATTTGGGGTCGAACGACCATTTCACGGGGGTCGCCAAACAAGGCTGTCCGCCATTTTTTCCCCCTTTTCTTTGGCCACGCCCCTGGCACCCGGTGATGTATAAGTGGTTGGGGGTCACCACAACATGGGGAACTGTATTATGGGGTCACGGCATTAGAAAGGTTGAGAACCACTGGTATAGAGGGTACCTTGCTCAACAGTAGTAACTGTGAGAGGGATCTTGGAGTCCTAGTGGACAATCATTTGGGGCAGGCCATCTTTGGGGAACAAGGACTCGCTATGTTAGAGCGATTCCTTGTTCCGGCCCCTCAAAAGGCTCATCCTGTAGTACTGGTGACAGGGGAGTACAGGGCCCTGATTGTAGGCTGCTGTTGCTTAATGCCAGGTCCGTTGTCAGCAAAGCCCCCCTTGTCCGTGATTTAATATTGGACAGCGGGGTGGACCTGGCATGTATAACCGAAACCTGGCTGGGCCCTGAGGGGGGTGTCTCCCTCTCGGAGATGTGCCCGGATGGGTTTGTGGTGCTTCATCAGCCTCGACATCAGGGCAGGGGTGGGGGAGTGGCAGTCATTGCTCGGAAGTCCTTGAGTCCTCGTGGGATTCCTGCCCCGGAGGTTGTTGGGTGTGAGTCCCTCCTATTGAAGTTGGGTTCACGGGTTCAGTTGGGCTTGCTGCTGACGTACCTACCTCCCAGCTGCGTTGCAACAGCCCTGCCTGCGTTGCTGGAGTCAGTAGCCGGGTTGGCGGTGGAGTTCCCCAGACTTATAGTACTGGGGGACTTTAACCTACCATCACTCGGCGATCGCTCAGAGGCGGCGCAGGAGTTCATGGCTTCCATGGCAACCATGGACCTGACCCAGGTAATTCAGGATCCGACTCATAGGGGTGGTCACACACTCGACCTTGTGTTTCTCTCGGGGCAATGGAGACATGATCTGGAATTAAGGGGAATAGAGATCTCTCCCTTGTCATGGACAGATCATTTCCTACTGAGGCTGGACTTCAGAGCATCACTCCCCCATCGCAGGGAGAGGGAACCGACTAGGTGGTTCCGCCCCAGGCGCCTAATGGACCCAGATCGGTTCCAGGAGGAGCTTGGGGAAATACCTGACTCCCTTGTCCACAACTCGTCCGGGTCCCTGGTTGCGGCCTGGAATGAGGCGGCGTCCGGGGCCCTGGATCGAATTGCGCCTTTGCGACCTCTCTGTGGTGGTGGTCCCCGGAGGAGCGCCTTGGTTTACTGAGGAGCTCCGGGAGATGAAGCGCCACAAGAGACGTCTAGAGCGACGTTGGAGGGCCAGTAACTCTGAATCTGACCGATCACTATTAAGAGCCTATCTTAGGACTTATTTAGTGGCGATAAGAGCGGCAAAGCGTGTTCACTTTTCCGCACTTATTGCGTCCGCAGAATCTCGCCCGGCTGCCTTGTTTAGGGTGACCCGCTCCCTTCTTAAAGTGGAGGAGGCGGAGGAACCCTTGCAGGGGAGAGCTGAGGAGTTTGTTCAGTTTCTTTCGGACAAAATCGCTCAGATTCAGAGAGACCTGGACTCCGACTGGGCAGTGCCAGCCGAGTTGCCAGGGGCTGGTCTTAGTCATGTTATCTGGAGCGAGTTTGAGCCTGTGACCCCTGATGAAGTGGACAAGGCCGTGAGGGCAATGAATGCCGCCACCTGTTTACTGGACCCGTGCCCCTCCTGGCTGGTTTCTGCCAGTAGGGAGGTGACACGAGGCTGGCTCCAGGCGATAATCAATGCTTCCTTGATGGAGGGGTCTTTCCCGCAACCTTTAAAGGAAGCGGTGGTGAGGCCCCTCCTCAAGAAGCCTTCCCTGGACCCAGCTGTTTTGAAGAACTTTCGTCCCGTCTCCAACCTCCCCTTTGTGGGGAAGGTTGTAGAGAAGGTGGTGGCGTCCCAACTCTTGCGATCCTTGGATGAAACTAATTATCTGGACCCTTTTCAATCTGGTTTCAGGCCCGGCTACAGCACTGAGACTGCTTTGGTCGCACTGACCGATGACCTCTGGCGAGCCCGGGATAGGGGTCATTCCTCTATCCTGGTGCTTCTTGACCTCTCAGCGGCTTTCGATACCATCGACCATGGTATCCTTCTGCGTCGTCTCGGAGAGGTGGGGGTGGGCGGCACCGTATTGCGGTGGTTCTCCTCCTACCTCTCTGACAGGTCGCAGTCGGTGTTGGCGGGCGGACAGAGATCGACCCCTAGGCGCCTCGATTATGGGGTGCCTCAGGGCTCGGTCCTGTCCCCCCTCCTTTTTAACATCTACATGAAACCGCTGGGTGAGATCATTCGGCAACACGGGGTGAGGTATCATCAATACGCGGATGATACCCAATTATATATCTCCACCCCGTGTCCTTTCAGTGAAGCAGTCGACGTGATGTGCCGGTGCCTGGAAGATGTGAGGGTCTGGATGGGGGTGAACAGGCTTAGACTCAACCCTGACAAGACTGAGTGGCTCTGGGTCTTGCCTCCCAAAGGTCAACTGGATGGTCCATCTTTAGTCCTGGGGGGGGGCAAATCTACCTCCCTCAGTGCAGGCACGCAACTTGGGTGTCCTCCTGGACTCACAGCTAAATCTGGAACAACATCTATCGGCTGTGGCCAGGGGGACTTTTGCACAGGTTCGCCTAGTACACCAGTTGCGGCCTTATTTGGACCGGGAGGCTTTACTCACAGTCACTCATGCCCTTGTCACCTCAAGACTGGATTACTGTAACGCGCTCTACATGGGGCTACCCTTGAAGAGCGTTCGGAGGCTGCAGTTGGTTCAGAACGCAGCCGCGAGAGCGATTGGGGGCGCGCCGAGGTACGCCCATGTGTCACCTATCCTCCGCGAGTTGCACTGGCTTCCTGTGGGTCTCCGGACGCAATTCAAGGTGTTGGTTATCACCTTTAAAGCCCTTCATGGCATAGGGCCAGGTTACTTACAGGACCGCATTCTGCCACATAGTTCCCAGAGACCGGTGAGGTCCCATAGAGTGGGCCTCCTTCGGGTCCCGTCGGCCAGACAGTGTCGGCTGGTGGGCCCTCGGGGAAGGGCCTTTTCTGTGGTGGCTCCGACCTGGTGGAATCAACTTCCCCCCGAGGTTCGAACAACTCCCACCCTGCCGGCCTTTAAGAAGGCTGTTAAAACCCTCCTGTTCCAGCAGGCCTGGGGCTGATGTCCCCGGGGGGGGGCGGGATATGATCGGACTCGCGGTATGACTGTGGTATGACTGCTTTATTTTACTGTTTTATCATTGTTTTTAACTTTGTACGCCGCCCTGAGTCCTTTGGGATTGGGCGGCATATAAATACTGTAAATAAATAAATAAATAAATAAATATTTAAATACGAGCCAGCCGTGTGCTGCAGCTGTCAAAAAGCCAATGCAGTGCTAGGCTGCATTAACAGAGGGATAGAACAAAGATCACATGAAGTATTAATACCACTTTACAATGCCTTGGTAAGGCCACACTTAGAATACTGCATCCAGTTTTGGTCACCATGATGTAAAACAGATGTTGAGACTCTAGAGAGAGTGCAGAGAAGAGCAACAAAGATGATCAGGGGACTGGAGGCTAAAGCATATAAGGAACGGTTGCTGGAATTGGGTATATCTAGTTTAATGAAGAGAAGGATGAGGGGGGACAGGATAGCAGTGTTCCAATATTTCAGGGGCTGCCACAAAGAAGAAGGAGTGAAGCTATTCTCCAAAGCGCCTGAAGGCAGGACAAGAAACAACAGATGGAAACTGATCCAGGAGAGAAGCAACCTAGAACTAAGGAGAAACTTCCTGACAGAACAATTAACCAGTGGAACAACCTGCCTCCAGAAGCGGTGCATGCTCCAACACTGGACGTTTTTAAGAAGAGACTGGACAACTATTTGTCTGAAATGGTATAGAGTTTCCTGCCAGAGCAGGGGGTTGGACTTGATGACCTCCAAGGTCCCTTCCAACTTTATTATTATTATTATTATTACTCCTTCCATTGAATTTTCCTACTCACAACTATGCATTGGAGAGGAGGCGGAGCCCGGGAGGAGAGCAGAAGCCCCGCCCCTCCCACCTTCCCACTCACTGGATTTCTGCTTCCCTCCCAGTGTGCCCCTTCCTGTATGACCCTTCAACTTGGCAATCCTCTTTCTTTGTGCTCAATCTAAAAGGCCAACAATGAAATCCTTTGCTTTTATGCAAATGTTTACTTTGCTTCTGCTTTACGAAGCTGGGTAAAATCTGTAAAAACCAATATTTTCCTTATTTTGCTCTAAAGAGGCTGTGATGTGGCAGCAACGTATTGGTGGATTTTTTACAAACCGAAAGTTCTAAGGAGGATTTGAGGCTGGTCTTGTAAAGCAGGTAAGAAAAGAAACTGATGGCTAGAAGATTGTCTTACCTAATTTAAAAACGCTTATCCAAGGTAGCATTCGGTCCCAGGAAGCCTGGAATTTTTGTGGCCTTGCAACCTCCAAAAAGAGCAGGAAAGAGCAGCCCTTTTCATACACGCTTTGCCCCATCTGATCTCTCTTGTCTTCCTTTGAGTTTTCCTACTCACAACTCTGCGTTGGTCCCTGTTGGACTTCATCTTGCTGGTTTCTTCCATTTTGGCTCATTAAGATCTTCTTGAATCACGATTCTCTCTCCATTATTTTGTCTCCTGAACAATTAATCCTATTTTCTCCTCTCTCTTCCATTTGTAGATTATGTTCATCATTATAATAATAATAATAATAATAATAATAATAATAGTAGTAAAGTTGGGAGTGACCTTGGAGGTCATCTAGTCCAACCCCCTGCTCAGGCAGGAAACCCTATACCATTTCGGACAAATGGCTGTCCAGTCTCTTCTTAAAAACTTCCAGTGTTGGAGCATTTACTGCTTCTGGAGGCAAGCTGTTCCACTGATTAATTGTTCTCACTGTCAGGAAGTTTCTCCTTAGTTCTGTTACTGTTGGCATCTGAGCCTTTCTCATATCTCTTTGCAGGAAACCAGTGAGGATGTGGCCGTGAGCTCCATAGAGGAGAAGGGGCATTCTTGGATCGGGACCCACCAACCTTTGGCCAGGACTCCGTTCTAGAGAATTTGGAAATCTTGGAGAAGCAGCTTGTTTAAAATGTGTCATAAGGAAGCCAGAACCAAAAAGCCATGATGCGATGGAGCTTGTGGGTATAAAAATCAGAAGAAGCAAGAAAAGGGAATGAGAAATGGGTTGCTTACAATAGCTTGAAATCTTTTTCCTTCTCTTAATGTGATGGCGTAGTTTTTCGCATATCTGGTAGTTTGTTCTGGACATACTAGCACAATTCGGACTGGTATCTTGGTCGTTGTGTGAAGCGGGCATTGAGATGTGACTTGGCTGCTCTTCTCAAATGTTGCAATCCTGCACTGGTTGTTGAGCAATTTCACAGGTCATTAAGCAAAGTCTCAGGTAAGTCAGCTGGGGTTGCCTGAAGTGGGCAGGAGAGGCCATGTGAGTGCTGGCACAGGGCATGTGTGAATTGAGAGGGTCCTGGAGAAGCTTAGAGATGCTTTGGGACATGTTACTTGGAAATATGTATGGAATATGCGGCTTAGAAAATGACACAAGGCTGCAAAGGCCTCCGGTCTGGGCCTTGAGGCTGCATTTCTAAGTGGCAGCGGTGACACTGGGCTGAAGTCCAGTCCTGGGGTCAGTGGCAACTGGCTGAAATGGCTCATTCCTTTTCCCTTAGAAGTCACAGCCAAATCCATACAGGAGAGAAACCTCACAAATGCTCGGAATGTGATGTTTTTCCCATAAACATCATCTTTTGATGCATCAGACAACCCACACTGGAAAAAACCCATATAAGTGTCTGAAGTGTGGGAAATGTTTTTCCCAACCTTCAGGACTTCACAGGCACACCAGAAATCACACAGGATAGTGGCCTTATAAACGTGCACAGTGTGAGAAGACTTCATTGTAAATCAAAGCTAAAAATGCACCAGAATGTCCATAGCAGAGATAAACCCCTTCAGTTGTGAAGAATGAGAGAAACATTTTTTTTCCAAAAGTCACATCTTAGTGTTCACCAGGAACTTCACACCGTGACAGAAGGAGAATCTTAACAATTGTTTGGTGTGAGGAAAATCCTCTTCCTAGTCAACTTTGAATACCATCTTGGAGTCCACAATGAAAACAAAAGTGGTTAAATCTTGGAAGTGTTTGAAAGTTTGGCTCACAAAGTAGCAGCCTGTTAATAATTCAGAGATGTTACACAAGAGAAAAGAGCTACAAGTGTGGGGAGTAGATTAGTGCAAGTGTAGATTAGCTTTTACAGAGTACAGCTAGTTTTTGACGTATGGTCAAATTGGGAATGAATTCCTGGTCATAGTTTTATACACTGGTACACTGAGGCAACCATATGACTGGGTCTGATTTTATGACATTTTTGTGGTCATTAAGCAAGTCACTGCAGTGCTAGGTTTAAATCTATTGTTTTGAGTTTGCATTTTCTGCAAAAAACTGACAAAAAGCAAGATCATGGAACTGGTCATAGAAGGATCATAAAAATTGTGCATTTGGTGTGCATGAAATATTTTTATGGAAAGTCTACCTGGGTCTGCTGGTAAAAATGCCTTGAAGAAAAACCCACCAGATGTTCGGACTACTGGACACTCTTTCCGGGTGACAAACCACATCAGAGCTTGGTGTGTGTGTATGGACAATCTGTTCCTTGAAATGTCATTTGTAAATCCCCATAGAGAAAAAGCCTAGAAATCTTAACATTTTATCCTGAAATTTTTTTTTATTTTTTTTTAAAAACAAGAGTTCATAATTGTGGTAAAGTGAAAAAAAGGTTCCCTGGTCTGGGTGTTATTTTAAAAAGGTAGTGATCCAGAACGGGGAAAATATCCTTCAGATGCCACTTAAGCCTCAGAGTCTCTTTTGTGCCCTTATCCACCCCTCTCATTGTCCCAGTGGGAGAGACCCCCCAAGAGACTTGGGTCACCAACTCTTATCTGGGACAGGAAATTGTCAGAGCATGCAGAGTCCTATTGTGTGAGACAACCCAGGAGCAAACACAGCAAACAGTGGTTTCTAACCAATAATGGTTTATCTACAATATTATACAAGTATTACTAGGAACAAATATACGTACACGTGCTACGAGCAGAAGCCAACACGCAGCAATTACAGCAGGAAAAGGAAGAGAGAAACACACTAGCAGAGCCTTCCCTTTATACCCAGGCTCTTAAAGAGACAAAGACCCTGCTGTCTCATCCCTATCATTACATCAGTACACCAGTTGTTAAATCATTACCTTGACAGAAATTCTTTTAGGATTGTAAAATAAAAATTTTAAGGTTTTGTGGAAGTTTTGTTTCTGTGGGAACTGTATGGAAGTCCATAATCTTCAGGGCTGGGATTTTAAATGAAACGTTTTGGTCTTTTGTGCAGTCTTAATAAAAGCATTTCCACTGTCCTACAGGATGTTGTTAATTTCTCCGGAGTGCACTTTTCCTGCATTGCTCACCACAATGTTGAATAATGCTGAGGTCTTGGCTGACTTCCTGGGCTGAAAGGGAATCATAGTTTAAGGTCCCCCCCCCCCTCTGACTCTGGGGCAGCAAAGCATCATGGCAGCTCTCAGCCTCTTCGAACATAGCAGATCTCTCCCCCCCCCCAGCCTCTCCCTTCTGCCCACACCGAGACTGAAATATTTTGTAGCTGTACTTGCTTTATAAGAGAAATGGGATAAAACGCTTTGTGCAGAGGCTTTTCTGAGACGGGAACAAGAAGGAATTCCAGAAGGAAGGTGAAATTCTGGCTGAGTTATGAGGAAAAGCGAGGAAAGGCATGTTGCAGGAAAGAGAAGAAACCTGGATATTATGTTTGCTTAAAGGTAACAAGAGCCCATCCTCGCATGGAGGTGGACACCCCCCCCTCTCCAAACACATACGGGGATCTATAGATTAGGAGGGGCAGGTTGGGGGCTCCTGGCAGTCTGGGCTTCTGCATCGCCCCCTCATCCACAGAGACCCCCGAGGAAGCCAGTCTGGGCCAGCTCCATAAATACCCAGCTGACGAAGAGCTCTCTTCGAAAGGACGGGGGGGGGGGGGACGTCGATCCGGCTCTTTCCCACTTCTTCCCTCCAGGGATTCACTGGAGAGCCCCCTCCATCTGCCCTCTCCGGAGCACCTGCCCAGCTGCCCTTCCAGGATCTTAGGGATCCACTCGGGGCTCCTTCCCGTTCCTCCCCCAGGCGCTCCTCCAACCGCGGCTCTGCCCCGCTTCTTTTTCCGTCTCAGCCGCGGAGGGGACCCCGGACAGACTGTGAGAATTTGAAACTTAGCTATATACGCAAATGCTGAAGGTGAAATGGCTAAAATGGATCAGCTTTTTCTCAAAACTGAAATGGACAAAAAAAAGAGTATGCAGCTAGTCCTCAACCTACAACAAACTCTCCCTCTTCCCCCCCCCAAAAGAAACCGACACCCAGATCTTTTACTTGCACCTCCCTCCTCTTTGGCCACTTGAGGGGAGCAAAAACTGACCGGCACTAAATTCACATAGCATTCCTAATCCAGATTCTGAATTAACCCATTTTGGTGCAAGTGCTTTGCTTTAGCAAACATTTGCCCAATATATATATATACACACACACACACTCTCTCTCTCTCTCTCTCTCTCTCTCTCTCTCTCTCTCTCACCCGCGGGCACACACGTACACACATTTCGAGCTAACCTTCACCCCACTTTCCGTGCAAATCCATCCTCACGTAGCCCATACGGCACCATTTTTGCCCCAAGAGACAACCAAGGCACGCAAGTTTGGCAAACAAAAAAACGTTCCCCAGCAAGAATAGCCGCGGGAACCCAAAACAGCCTAGCAAAAATCGAAAGGAGGCCATTCAAGGCGACCACCCGGGATGTGAATGGGAGAGAATCAGAAGAGGGCAGATCTCGTTCGCGTCCTCACGACACGCTTAAATCCCGAGTTTGGCGACGCGCGGTTGCTTTAGAGCAGTGTTTCTCAACTTGACAATTTTAAGGCATGTGGACTTCAACTCCCAGAATTCCACAGCCAGCAATGCTGGCTGTGGAATTCTGGGAGTTGAAGTCCACATGCCTTAAAATTGTCAAGGTTGAGAAACACTGGACTCTGGAGCGACCCCTGTCTCCCCCCTCCCCCCGCCGGGAGCGGGTCTTCCTCGGGGTCCTCATCCCCCCCCGCCCTCTTCTCCAGCCTGCGGGAAACGCCGCCATTTCCACCATTCTCTTGCGGCCATCGCGGAGCTTCAGTTTCCGCCCAGATGCTGGAGCAGGAAGCAGCCCCGCCCGGGCACAGCAGGGCACTCTTCGCATGGGCAGAGGAACCCCGGAGGCGAGGACCGGGGAGTCCCCTGCTGGGAAGGCAGACGGTGGGGGGAGGAGAGGAGGCGGCCAAGGGGCGGGGCTGCAAGGCGGGGGCGGAGCCCGGGAGGAGAGCAGAAGCCCCACCCTCGCCTCCACCCTCCCACTCGCTGTTATCTCCGCTTCCTTCTGCCTGTCTCGCTTCGCCCTGGGAGCATCGGCGCTGGATCCCTCGGGAGAGGCTTCTGGGTCTTCGGGGAGGTCGGGCTGCTCCCCCTCCGGCCTTTGGGGCGCCCCTCCCGCCAGGAGAGCTTTCCCCCCCCCCGCCAGGAGAAAGGTAGCTGCGGATCCGCCTCTTCGGCTTGCCGGGTTTTCCTTGGGGAGATTCGGCTCTGGCGTCGCCTGCAGAGAGTGGATCCCTCCCTTCCCTCCAGGGGGGCAAAGGGGGATCCCTCCCTCCCCGGGCTGGATCTGCGCCCTCCTCGCCCGGCCAGGGCTCCCCGCGGGGCTCCGGGTGGATCCGGGAAGGAGCTTTTGGGGCAGTTGCTTTCTGAAGGTCTCTGTGTGGTCCGTCTGAGCAGGAGGCCTCCGAACATCTGTTTCCCTCCAGTGCAGTTTGAAAAGGGAGCGAAGTGTAGCTTTAAAACGTTTATTAAGATTGTAAATGTGATATTGTCACAGCTTGACAGGGGAGAGCGGGGGATGTTAGGAAAAGAAAAGATTTATTTCAGGGGTCTCCAAACTTGGCCCTTTTAGGACTTGTGGACTTCAACTCCCAACTTCAACGCTGGGTCAAAAGTGGAAAACGTGTGTATAATAATGTATAGTAATAATAATATGTATTATTTTTTGAACTCCCAACTTCAACGCTGGGTCAAAAGTGGAAAACGTGTGTATAATGTATAGTAATAATAATATGTATTATTTTTAGTATAGTATGAAGGAAGAAAAATGCAAACAAGAAACAACAGGGCAACAAGGACAAATATATCTAAAGAAGAATAAGGGGGGGGGAAATGTAAATAATAGAAGATTACCCTTACGAAATTGCGGTTAAAAAAAAGGAGTACACACTGTGTGTGTATGTGTGTTACGTTTTGTCTTGTTTTGTTGGTTTAAAAAATAAAAATTTATTTAAAAAAAAGAGAGATTGTAAGTAAATGTGATATTGTCACAGCCTGACTTCATTTTAATGAAGGGTCGGGGGAGTGTTAGGAAAAGAAAAGATTTATTTCAGGGCGTCTCCAAACTTGGCCCTTTTATGACTTGTGGACTTCAACTCCCAACTTCAACGCTGGCTGAAGAATTCTGGGAATTGAAGTCCACAAGTCATAAAAGGACCAAGTTTGAAGACCCCTGGTTTATCTGGTTGAATTGAGCCAGTAAAGCATGGCGGTGTCGCGACATATTGCAACTTTTTTTGCATTGGTTTCCGCTGAGCCCTGACAGCCCTGCAGCTCCAGCCATCTCTCGCTCAGGCTTGTGCGGTGCTGCCACCGGTTCAGCTCATCCACCTCCCCCGCTACCACTTTTCTAGGATGGTCGTGTACCACCTGCCAGATGCCAATGTACCACAGGTGGTACCCGTACCACTGGTTGAAAAGCCCTGCCTTATAAAATGGTTTTGAAAGTATCTATGTATTTTATTCTTTCCATACCACAGAAAGGCATGCCAACCGATTCGCAGGTCATGCCCCTCTAGGTACAACAGTCTTTTATCTTTAAGTATTATCTATTCTTTAAGCCATGTTAGAATAGATGCTTGGTGGTATAACCTCCAGTCCGCCAGTCCAAATCCTCCACTGTCTTTTACGTCTTGTAGCATTTTCACTTTTGATTCTAGCTTTTTTTCCTTGCCAGATAAATTTCAATATTATTGCATTCAGTTCATCAAAAAAAGGCTTTTCCCAGCCTTACAGGGATCATTTGAAATAAAAAGAGTATTTTTGGTAAGATATTCATTTTCATTGTTGCTCTTCTCCCCAACATTGGAAGTTCTTTCACTTTTCCAAATCCAATTTTATTTGATTTAGCAGTCTTTCATAATTATCTTCTTTTACTGTTACACATCTTGCTGTTAAATAAATTCCCAAGTACTTGACTTTTTTTAACTATTTGAGGGTTTTTTTTGTTAGTTGATTTTTTTTGTTTTTCTGTTAAATTCTTTGTTAGCACTTTGGTCTTTTCTCTTTTCTTATTGTCAAGCCTACCACTTCTCCAAAATGTTATTCTGACGGTCAAGAAATTTCTTTTTATCTCTAGGCTGGTTTTCTCCTTGATTAGCTTCCATTCATTGTTTCTTGTCCTGCCTTCAGATGCTTTGTAGAATAGGTTGACACACATACACACCTCCTCCTTGTGGTAGCCCCTCCAATATTGGAACAGTGCTATCTTCTCAGAGCTTTTTTCTTTCTACTTAATGTAAAAGAATAGGTGTGGGGGAAAATGCACGCGCAGCAAACTGCCGTGCTTTCCCCTCCCACAAACTTCATAACCTTTTTTTTTATTATTAAAAGTTTTACAAATTACAATATAAACCCACCCATCCCCTCCCCCCCTCCCCCACTTCCCAGAGCTGATTACAGGGTAACAAATAAACAAACATACTCTAGCTAACATAAACCAACTAAACTATCAATCAAAACCATAATACACTTTAACTCCTTCTCAAAACAAATATTAACAAATTAAGACAAAAATAATAATACCATTAATACTATTAATAATTATCTAAAATCTATTCAAAAGCAAGATAATACTTTTCAATTTCATACTTCGTCTGGATATAATCAATCCATCTTCTCCAAACCATAATATATCTTTCTTGTGAATGATCCTTCAAATAGTGTCTGCTAAATTAGACACTTTAAGTAAAGCCTCATAACCTTTTGATACCCTTTGTCCCAGTGAAGCAGCCAGAAGGTCATCCCCTTTTGACTTAATGCCTCTCCTACCTAAACAGATAACATGCTTAAGTTATTTCCTATCTCTTCCTGACTTTGTCAGTTCTTTCTCCTTTTGATCTACCTGTATTTGTTCTTACCTGATCTTTGACCATGTAATGTGTTACTAGAAAATAGTTGCTTACATGAAGACATTTTCCAATGAAGAAACCTTTGTCAGCATCTAATGGTTAAGCTGGTGTATGTAACAAGTATATAAGAAGCAATAAACTCAGAGTTTGTCAAGCTGTGTCCTGCAGCTTCAAACCTCTGCTCAAGATATGCCTGCGTCTTTTTCTTAGCATCTTACAAATAGGGATGAGTAGTCTTTGTTTTTATGCTCATGTTTAGTTTGCTTTTCCTTGACAAAGCTGGGTAGAAGATACTCTAAAAAACAAAATTTTCCTTGTTTTTCCTTGAAGGAGCTATGTTGTGGCAGCCCGTTGTTTATTTTATTTATTTATTTATTTTATTTTTAAAAGTTATAAGCCGCCCCATTCCCGAAGGACTCTGGGCAGCTAACAATAAAAAACACATAAAACATAACAAACAAACAGTACAAAGACAGTCATCCAGGGGTCAGGTTTTATAAACCCCAGGCCTGCCGGAAAAGCCAGGTCTTATGTAGCTTATGGAAGACCAACAGGGTGGGAGCGGTCCTAATCTCCGGGGGGGGGGGGGAGCTGGTTCCAAAGCGTGGGCGTGATGGATGTTTTACAAAGGACAGGTTTTAAGGAAGTTTTGTTATCAGGTATCACGACAAGCTGATGGGCAGAAGTCTGACCTACATGATTCAAAATGTTTTTTCAAATGCCTTCCTTCTCCAGGCGGCACTTCTAAAGCTATGTTTTTGTGATTCTCAGTCTCCCTCAAAAGGAAACATTATTCTCATTTTCTTTTTTTTTTTCCACCAGCAGGGAAACAACTGTGACCAAAGATTCACCTGCAAGTCAACTTTCAAGAGATAGTAGAAAATTGGCACAAGGCAGCAGCCGCCAGAACTCATGGAGGGCGGGAAACTCTCGGATCCCCCGTCAGACACAAGTAGCACTCTGAAAAACCACAAAAGAACCCATGAATGCTCAGAATGTGGGAAATCCTTTGCTCGCCGGTCCCTCCTTTTGAACCACAGGAAGGTCCATGTAGGAAGCGGATCCAGTGAAGGTTTGGAGGGCGAGAAATTCTTCTCTGGAAAAAACCCCGAAGATCTTAGAAGCCCCCCCAAATTAAGACTCTATAAATGTGAGGAATGTGACTTATGCTTTGGTCAAAAGTCAAGTCTTCTTATACATCAGAAAATCCACACTGGAGAGAAACCTGACCAATGTCTGGAATGTGGGAAAAATTTCCGTCAAAAAACCCATCTCAGAAACCACGAGAGAATTCACACAGGGGAGAAACCTTACAAGTGCTGGGAATGTGGGAAGAGCTTTTCTCAGAACGCCAGTCTTTGGGTCCATGAGAAGATTCATGCAGGAATAAAATCTTACAAATGCTTTGAGTGTGGAAAATCTTTCACCCTGAGCTCATCTCTTCGGAGTCATGAGAAAAAACACAGAGGGGAGAAAAATGAAAAGTGCCTCGAATGTGGGAAGTGTTTTACCTGGAAATCAAGCCTGGTGCAACATCAGAGACTTCACACCGGAGAGAGACCCTATGAATGTCTGGAATGTGAAAAACGATTTATGTTTTCTTATGAACTTCAGAGACATCAGAAATGGCACAAAAAAGAGCTATCCTATAAATGTGGGGAAAGTTTTATTTCGCCGGGAGAATTTCAGATTCACCAGAGAATCCACACAGGGGAGAAGCCATTCAAATGTGGAGACTGTGGGAAATGCTTTTCCCGAAAACACAACCTTGGAAGTCATCAGAGGCTCCACACAGGAGAGAAGCCATACAGATGCCTAGAATGTGGGAAATGTTTTGCTCAAAAGGGAGCCCTTTGGGAACATCACAAAATCCACACAGGGGAGAAGCCATATCCATGCTTTGAATGTGGAAGATTTTATCGTACCCTATCAATCCTTAGAAATCATATAAAAGTTCACACGGGGGAAAAAAACTACAAATGTTTAGACTGTGGGAGGACATTTGCTAATCCATTTTCCCTTAGAAGCCACAGCCGAATCCATACAGGAGAGAAACCTCACAAATGTTCGGAGTGTGATAAATGTTTTTCTCAAAAAAATACTCTTGTGATACATCAGCGAATCCACACTGGAGAGAAGCCATATAAATGTTCGGACTGTGGGAAATGTTTTGCCCACTATTCAACACTTTACAGGCACACCAGAAATCACACAGGAGTGAGGCCTTACAAGTGTGCAGAGTGTGAGAAAACTTTTCATTGTCCGTCTCAGCTCAAAATGCATCAGAAAGTCCACAGCAGAGATAAATCTTTTCAGTTGTGAACAATGTGGAAATTTTTTTTTTCAAAAGTCACACCTTACTATTTACCAGGAATTTTACACAGTGTCAGAAGGGAAATCCTACAATTGCTTGGTGTGAGGAAAATGTTTTTCCTAGTCAAGTAATCTTCAGTACCACAATCAAGCAAATCTGCATAAATGTTGGGAGTGTGAGAAGGTTTTGCTCACAAAGCCGCATTAGTAACTTACCAGAGTGATTACACAAAAGAGTTATAAGGGTGTGGGGAGTATATACAATGTTTTGCAAAGTACAGGTAGTCCTTGACGTATGACTACAATTGGGAGTGGATTTCCAGTCATAAGTTGTTATAAGTCATGAGTCAAGACACCCAGGAATTTTTGTTATTTTTTTTTACTAGGCCTTTGTTGATCTATGAGGAGAACTGAAATTTTAGAGAGGAGAAAATGGGGGGAGGGGTGGAACAAAGATGCATCTGGTTGTTTATTTAGTGATAAAGTATTGCTGTTGAATATATTCTGGCTGAGGAAGAAGAAAGAAAGTTTCTTTTTCCTCCTATCTTTTTTTTTGGGAGGGATTTTCTTTTTTCTTCACAGTGTCTTTTTCATATCTTCACACACACACACATTTGTATTAAGTTTGTTTGGTCTGTGAATATAATCCTTAATAAAATTATTGTTCAAAATAATCGACTGTTTTCAGGGCATGGACTAGGGGGGGTGTCAAAAAAAAGTCAAGATGGCCGTCACCAAATTGTGCCACACTCTGCAAAGTCTTGCTGCATTTTAGCTTTATATGTGATGCCCTTTTAAACAGCTGCCATCTTGGTTCTTGACTCCATCCTCTCTTTCTGGACACTTCTGTCTTCTGGGGTAGATTTTAGATGAACTTTAGGAGAAATGTCCTGGGTTATTCAGGTGACAGAGGGCATAGAACAGGGGTCTTCAAACTTGGCCCTTTTATGACTTGTGGACTTCAACTCTCAGAATTTCTGAGCCAGCACAGGAATTCTGGGAGTTGAAGTCCACAAATCATAAAAGGGCCAAGTTTGAAGACCCCTGGCATAGATAAACCTTCAAGTGGCCTAGCGACTCTCAGAGAAAGTGCTAATGACCAGCTATCTGCAAGGAGTATAAATCCTTCCATCCTCCAACATTTGGCCAGAGCTGAAGAAGCTTCTTGGATGAGAAGCGAAACGTCTTCAAGGAAAAAATAAAGTCCAGTTGCTTTTTGAAAAAACGCTTTTCGGACTTTTGTTGTTGGTTATTTTATTGTTCTACTATTTTACATTTCTGTTTACCTGCCCTTCCTTTTTGTTTCTTTTATTATCAGCCGCCTAGAGTAGCCCTATAGTCAGATGGGCGCAAATAAATTTAACAAACAAATATCAAATAAATATGGCATAGATAAAAACAGAGGTTGCGCTTGAAAATGCCTTTGTGGGTCTTGGCACAGGAAGGGTTTTATGGCAAAGAAAGAGCAGACAAAGAGAAATGGTTAACATATCAAGAATTTTTTTGAAGAAGTACTTGGATAATACAAGGTGAAGTCAAGAGATCAGCTGACTGCAGAGGGAGTTAGCTTCTCCTAGTTTTCCTATGTAGAGTGAAGAGAAATATTTAAAGTAGACAAAAAGATTTTTGGAATTAACAGACTGTGAGACAGAATTTGAAACTTAGCTATATACGAAAATGCTGAAGGTGAAATGGCTAAAATGGATCAGCTTTTTCTCAAAACTGAAATGGACAAAAAAAAGAGTATGCAGCTAGTCCTCAACCTACAACAAACTCTCCCTCTCCCCCCCAAAAAGAAACCGACACCCAGATCTTTTACTTGCACCTCCCTCCTCTTTGGCCACTTGAGGGGAGCAAAAACTGACCGGCACTAAATTCACATAGCATTCCTAATCCAGATTCTGAATTAACCCATTTTGGTGCAAGTGCTTTGCTTTAGCAAACATTTGCCCAATATATATATACACACACACACATACATACATACACACACACACACAAACACACACACACTCTCTCTCTCTCACCCGCGCGCACACACGTACACACATTTCGAACTAACCTTCACCCCACTTTCCGTGCAAATCCATCCTCACGTAGCCCATACGGCACCATTTTTGCCCCAAGAGACAACCAAGGCACGCAAGTTTGGCAAACAAAAAAACGTTGCCCAGCAAGAATAGCCGCGGGAACCCAAAACAGCCTAGCAAAAATCGAAAGGAGGCCATTCAAGGCGACCACCCGGGATGTGAACGGGAGAGAATCAGAGGAGGGCAGATCTCGTTCGCGTCCTCACGACACGCTTAAATCCCGAGTTTGGCGACGCGCGGTTGCTTTAGAGCAGTGTTTCTCAACTTGACCATTTTAAGGCATGTGGACTTCAACTCCCAGAATTCCACAGCCAGCAATGCTGGCTGTGGAATTCTGGGAGTTGAAGTCCACATGCCATAAAATGGTCAAGGTTGAGAAACTCTGCTTTAGAGCAGGGATCTTCAAACTTGGCTGGCTGAGGAATTCTGAGAGTTGAAGTCCACAAGTCTTAAAAGTTGCCAAGTTTGGAGAACCCTGCTTCAGAGCCAGGGTCGTGCGAACCCACACACGAATTGGGAGTCCCCGAATCCATCGAAAGTGATCGGGGATGAAGCGCGCGCGGGGCGAAAGGAGCGGGCGAAGGACTTCTCGCCTTTCCATTGCCCGCGCTGCCCGTGAAGGGTTAAAACCACGGAGTTGGCGCCGGCCAGAACGGCTGAGAAGCAACTTCCGCGGCGGTTCGGTGGCTGCCCGGTTCCTTCCTGTTGCTGGAGGGGGAGGAGAAAGGGGCGAGTTGCAACGTGGGGGAGGGGTGGGGGCGGATCAAAAAACGAGGTTTTGTAGGTTCCAATCCCGGGCTTTGCTTTCTCGCCGGTCCCGTGCAAGACCCGGGTCGGTCCGGCTGCAGAGGTGAGTTTTGGATGGGGAAAGAAGAGAGGGATGCAGGTGTGTGAAAAAGTGCATCCTCTGGATCGGTGCAAGCCAAGCCTGCTTCGGGCGAAGGACGCATCTCTGTCGGGATCCCGGTTGCCATTCCTCGCGACGGATTTGTAGAGAGTCTTTTCCGCCTTGCTTTGCTTTGCAGCCCCGCTGCACGAAGCGTGGCTTCATCCATCCATCCATCCATCCATCCATTCTTTCTGTTTGGCATTCTACCAATGGGAGAAACGGATCCTATGCGGGTCACACAAGCCAAGGGAGACTTACTTTGGTCCTGCCTTGGAGTCAGCCCAAGGAATAAGCAGTAGTCTATCTAGGAACATGGCTTGATTTGGAATGTGGCATCCTGAAAAATGCCCCCCTCCCTTTTCAGTGAATTCCCGTGGTTTGGTTGCAAAGAGCGTGCCTGTAACTTTTTTCTCTGTTTTTATCTTTTCCTCGGTAGGTGATTCTCTGCTGGAGGCACAGAGTTACAGCTGGACACAGGACTCATGCATACCTGAGGAATATCACTTCCTTCCTTCCTTCCTTCCTTCCTTCCTTCCTTCCTTCCTTCCTTCCTGCACCCTTGACGTCAATGGGTTCCTACTCCAGGTAGGTGGGCAGAAGACTGCAGCCTGAGTATTCCCACCACCCACCCCAGGTCTGGGAACCTGTGGAGTACAATGTTTTGAGTCCTAGTTACAGGTAGTCGTCAACTTACAACAATTTGTTTAGCGACCAAAGTTACAACGGCACTGGAAATAGTGACTTATCGTTGTTTTTCACACTTACGACTATTGCAGCATCGCCATGGTCATGTGATTTACATTCGGATGCTTGACAACAGACTCACATTTATGACGGTTGCAGTGTCCCCGGGTCATGTGACTATCTTTTGGGATCTTCTGACAAGCAAAGTCAATGGGGAAGCCAGATTCGCTTAACAACCATGTGACTAATTTAACAACTGCCATACCTCATTTAACAAATTCTTCTTCTTGTGCCATATCCATTATCGGACAGTGGCGATCATGTTGGCGATCCTGTTTTTATCAGCAGTTGCACAAAAAAGTGCTGCTGAGTTTTGTCCAAACCAGTCCCTTGGATTTTGAATGCCTGGACCTCATTTGCCTTCCATCTTTCCCTGGAGGATTAAATGGAGTATGCCGTATTTTTCTGGGTGTTGCATCACATCTCCGAAATATTCTAATTTTTGTTTTTTAATTGTTTGGATGATTTCCCTTGGCTTTCCCAGGCGGCTGATCACCTCCTCATTTCTGATCTTGTCAATCCAGCTTATACGTAACAGCTGCCTGTAAATTCACCTTTCAAATGCTTCTAGTCCAGTGGTTCTCAACCTTTTTAATGCCGCGACCCCCAACCGGTCGTAAGTTGAGGACTACTCAACCGGTCATAAGTCGAGGACTACTCAACTGGTGCAGCACCGTTTGCAGAATGGGACTTTTGGTGGGCTCAGCAGGGCAGAGACAGTCTGGACAATTCCTATTGGCTTTTGAAAATCAATAGAATTAGACTCTATTCAAGAGAGTCTATTCTATTGGCTTTCAAAAGCCAGTAGAATAAAAGGGAGTAGCACAGCTAAGGAAAAGGGGAAAAAAAATGGCGGACTGCGTTGTTTGGTGACCCCCGTGAAATGGCCGTTCGACCCCAAATAGGGTCCCGACCCACAGGTTGAGAACCACTGTTCTAGTCTCTTCTGTCAGAGACCAACTCTCTACTCCATGGAACAGGATAGAATTTAACAAATTTAACAAATGCGGCAAGAAAAAGTCATAAAATGGGACAAAACTCACTAACAAATGTCTTACGTAGCAACAGAAATTCTGCTCAGTTGCGGTCATAAGTTGAGGACTACCCCAAAGCTGCCCAGAGTTGCCTCTTTGCTGGGAGGGGGTGGACCTCACCCACTCAGGAAGGTGTGAAAGTAACCTTTTTTTAAAATCAGCATTTTGTTTTTTTATGTGGCATTTCAATGGGATGGGATATTTTTTTTCCCCAAGGGATGAATTCCAGGAGGATGGCTTTGATTTCATTTGGGACATCCTCAGCTGACCTCCCCAATTTCCAGAGGGAGAAGGAGTTCTGCAGACTGAAGAGACCTTCCTGCTGAAGATTCAGCTTAACCGCTAGGTCAGTGATGGCGAACCTTTTAGAGACCGAGTGCCCAAACTGCAACCCCAAACCCACTTATGTATCGCCTTGTGCCAGGTGGGCGTGGCCCACTGGGCGGGCGTGGCTGTGGTGGTCATGGCAGATTGGGTGGGTATGGCCAAGGTGGGCGTGGTCACCTCGATGTTGCTCCTGGGGAGGGACACCTGTGGGGGATGGGCAGGGTTTGGGGACAGGAAGACTTGGAGGAATGTTGTCCATGGGGTCGCGATGGGTCGGACACGACTTCGCAATTAACAACAACACCCTTACTCTGCAGCCCATTTATTTTTGTGCATAATCCAGGACCAGAAAGAGCTGCTGCCTGCCTTTCCGTCCAAATCTGAGGTGTAACAACATACACTAAGCTTCTTATCGCCGGCTAAGGTTAACTTTGAATTGGTAGCATCATTTTTCTACTTTCTTTCTGCTTTCCCATCCTGTTTTATATCTTCATTTGTTCATTAGAGCTGTCCAGGAGTGTGTGTGTGTGTGTGTGTTGTGTTGGCGGTGGCGGCTCTCCTTTGTTTCTCCTTGCAACAACGACCCTGTGAAATAGGTTAGGAGCCGAGGTGGCGCAGCAGTTAGAGTGCAGTACTGCAGGCCACTTTAGCTGACTGTGTTCAGCAGGTCAGCGGTTCAAATCTCACCGGCTCCAGGTTGACTCAGCCTTCCATCCTTCCGGGGTAGGTAAAATGAGGACCCAGATTGTTGGGGACAATGTAAATATATATATACAGTGCTTACTGGTGTACACCGCTTAGAGAGTGCTTGCACTTAAAGCGGTATATAAGTCTCATAAATAAATAGGTTAGGTTGGGAATTGCTTGAAGGCGGCTGGAGAATTTCAGAGTTGAGACTCTGTTTTGTGCTGTGTTACTGAGTGATGCAAACATTCTCTGGTTATAAGATTTTATGGTGTGCGTGTTTTGTTTTTTTTTCCACCCAGAAACTAGGATTGCAAAACGGGATTAAAAAATTAATTGCGTGTACAAGTAGTTCTTGACTTGCAACCCTTTGTTTAGCAACTGTTCAAAGTTACAACAGTCCTGGGAATAGTAACTTACAACCAGGCTTTACACTTACGAGCGTTGTAGCATCCTCAAGGTCACAGGATCAATTTTCGGACATATTGGCAACTGGCATATATGTACAACAGTTGCAACGCCTTGGCTGGCTTTGCAAAGTCAATTAGAGAAGCAGTCTTTATGTAATGATTGTGTAATTGCAGTAATTTGCTCAAGGTCAAAAAGATCATAATCAAACATGACTCACTCAGCAATGGGGAACCCATCAGATTTGCAAATGACACTAAGCTGGCAGGAATAGCCAACACTCCAGAAAACAGGTTTAAGATATAGGAGGATCTGGGCAGACTTGAACACTGGGTGCTATCTAACAAAATGAAATTCAATGGTGAAAAAAGTAAGAGTTCTACATTTAGGCAAGAAAAAACAAATGCACAGGTACAGTATAGGTGGTACCTTGCTCAATAGTAGCAACTGTGAGAGGGAGCAGTGTGCTGCAGCTGCCAAAAAGGCCAACACAGTGCTAGGCTGCGTTAACAGAGGGATAGAATCAAGATCACGTGAAGTGTTAATACCACTTTACAATGCCTTGGTAAGGCCACACTTGGAATACTGCATCCAGTTTTGGTCACCACGATGTAAAAAAGATGTTGAGACTCTAGAAAGAGTGCAGAGAAGAGCAACAGAGATGATCAGGGGACTGGAGGCTAAAACACATGAGGAACGGTTGCTGGAATTGGGTATGTCTAGTTTAATGAAGAGAAGGACGAGGGGGGACATGATAGCAGTCTTCCAATATCTCAGGGGCTGCTACAAAGAAAAGGGAGTCAAGCTATTCTCCAAAGGCAGAACAAGAAGCAATGGATGGAAACTAGTCAAGGAGAGAAGCAACCTAGAATTAAGGAGAAACTTCCTGACAGTTAGAACAATTAACCAGTGGAACAACCTGCCTCCAGAAGCAGTGAATGCTCCAACACTGGAAGTTTTCAAGACAGCCATTTGTCCGAAATGGTATAGGGTTTCCTGCCTGAGCAGGAGGTTGGACTAGATGACCTCCAAGGTCCCTTCCAACTTTATTATTGTTGTTGTTGTTGTTATTATTATTATTAAATAACATTTGAGGAAAAGCTCGCTCTAAATTCTGAAAAGCAAATTGCTACCACTTCTAGTCCTGAATTACTCAATGTTTAATTTGTTTCCTTCTGGTGGTCCACTCTTTTTTCTCCTCCTCTTCCTCCTCCTCCTCCTCTTCATCATCATCATCATCATCATTATTATTATCATCATCTTTGTTTAGTAATGGAAATGCTGGCCCAATTGGGATTGTAAGTTGAGGACTACCTATATAGGGACTAAACTATAATGCCTGGACATGTAGGTCTTTGGTTATTCGGGTTTTCTCCCGCGTCAAATTGGAAGTGTCTTGGCGACATTTCGACGAAGTCTCATTCGTCATCTTCAGGCTGGTATTTTCAGCTTCGTGCTTCTAGGAGCAATGCTAGAAGCACGAAGCCGAAAACACCAGCCTGAAGATGACGAATGAGACTTCGTCGAAATGTCGCCAAGACACTTCCAATTGGATGCGGGAGAAAACCTGAATAACCAAAGACCTATATATATATAAGCTCAGTAAAGCCTACAGTTCTATTAAATATCATTTGAGTTGAGCAGGTGCCAACAGGTACATCAAGGTGAATGAGGGATGGGGAGGGTGCTAGTGATGTCTCCTCAAGTCAAACATGCATTTTCTTGGGTTTGAGGGGCCCCTGTGCCAACTAAAGAAAAGATGCAGCTGCTTTAAAGAGGAATCAGTAGGTGCCCAGTACTGTTTCTGTTTCCAGTTTAGAGCAACGTTTTTCAAGCTTGGCAACTGGGAGATGTATGGACTTCAACTCCCAGAATTCCTCTGGGCTATAGTAGTTCACATCTCTTCAAGTTGCCAAGCCTGAATAACACTCGCCTAGAGAAATCCGTAGTCCCAAAATTCTCAGCAATGGCCACTCTGACAGAAGAATTCTGGGAATCGAAGTCCATAGTCTCAGGATTTTTCTCAGTGGCCATGCTACCTGGAGAATTCTGGGAACTTAAGTCTGTACTCCCTGAATTCTCAGCCGTGACTGGAGAATTCTGGGATCCAATGTCCAGTCAGCATGGCCACGGCTGAGACCAATATCTGTGTGCCCAGAATTCTCTGTAATGGACTGGCTGGAGAATTCTGGGAAATGAAGTCCATAAATCTAGAGCAGTGGTTCTCAGCTTGTGGGTCGGGACCCCATTTGGGGTCGAACGACCATTTCACGGGGGTCACCAAACAACGCAGTCCGCCATTTTTTCCCCCATTTTCCTTAGCTGTGCTACTCCCTTTTATTCTATTGGCTTTTGAAAGCCAACAGAATAGACTCTCTTGAATAGAGTCTAATTCTATTGGCTTTCAAAAGCCAATAGGAATTGTCCAGGCTGTCTCTGCCCTACTGAGCCTGCCAAAAGTCCCAATCTGCAAACGGTGCTGCACCAGTTGAGTAGTCCTTGACTTACGACCGGTTGAGTAGTCCTCGACTTACGACCTGTTGGGGGTTGCAGCATTAAAAAGGTTGAGAACCACTGATCTAGAGGGTATCCAGGTTGGAGAAGGCAATAATAGTTCATCTATCTCAGCAGCTCTTTTAAATTGCCCAATTTAATAACATTTATGTCTTTGTGGCAGGGAGATTTCTTGAGTGGCTGCAAGCAGACCTTTGTCACCTCAACCAAATTGGGACCCAAAGCTTGCAGACACAAAGAATTGAAAAGGAAGGGAAGAAGCTGAGCTGGACCAAAGTCACTCTGGCCTGGAGGAGTTGAAATGGCATGTAAGGAGGAAGATGAAGACTTGATGAGCCCCCGGGATCAACAGGATTATTTTCCAGCGGAACAGCAGGAGGAGAAAACAGAAGGACAGAGCGTGGCAAGTCCAGGAGATGTTTCTGAAGGAACTGGGATGAGCAACCATGTTGGCCTGCTGAAAAACGAAGAGCAAATATTGCACGAGAAAGATGCACCCGGGATGAAGGAAAGGTCTCCATCTCAACCTGGGCAGGCACTGTTCCCAGCTTCCCAACGCTGGGA